TCTTCTGCAAATAAAAATATACTAGCAATTTTCTATTAATGGTTTATTCAAGTGGGCAAAATATAATGTACAGAAAGATTGCCCATAGAGTATCGCTACACTGAAAAGTAAGCAACCGACAGCCTGTATAAAAGGGGGGCTGTGATTGGCTGTTACTTATGCGAGATTTGAACGGGACTTACATAGGCGTCGGATCAGATGTAGGTAGGGCAGAATTAAAAAAAAATCACAAAATCAAAGTAAAATAATAAAATAAAAGGGCATTAATAACAAAAGTAATAAAAAATAAAATTAAAATAAGTTTATAGCCAAAATAATTAAAGCCCGTACACTACATCAGATTTTAATCAGATTGTCTTCAACTGTGACCTGTCTGATAGTAATTTTGACCCCAAAGAAGACATAGAATGCACCATTATAACTTAGAATTATCAAAAACTCCACACCCAGCGATTTCTGTTTGGTTACAGTCAGGTCATAGTAAATTATGCGTTTTGCATAGTGTGGAATGTTCCAAAACTCAGCGAGGTCACACATGCTTTCTATATTCTATAAAAAGACACAGCACATCTGATTTTCGTTCAAACCATGTACCCCCTAAGTTGTACACAAATTATATTTAAGACGTAAAGAAGGGTTGAACATCAAATAAATTGGATTTCATCTTTCAGCAGAAACAGAGTACAATGTACAGTGTAAATCATTATCACTGACAGAAATCAATATTTCTATCAACATGTTGGAAACATTGCTTGATCGAGCCTGTTATCTAAACTTGTAAACTGTAATCTGGGCTTCGGAGGTATAAAGCGTAACTCTGCCATAGTTGTTGAGTATACGAAATTTAACACCACAAACGATGGAAAATGATAATTTGAATACATTGAGTGAAATGTTAACAAAAGAAAGTTAATTATTGCTGATGTTTTTATTTTATTTTGTATTTTGTTTGCTACTACTGTATTTATCCGGGTAAGTGCCCATGCCCGGGCAAACGCCCACCTCCCAATTTTGATACAATAAAGAGATTGAGGTCATGTTCGGGCATACACCCAGGGGGTCTTTTTCTACACTTTTAATAAAAAAAAACTAAAAAAAAACTATTTTTTGTTCGTTGTAGTAACAGTTGACTGATTCAAATGATTCAAACAAATCTTACAGAGAGTCGCAAAGCAAGTGTTGCACTCATTCTGCTTTAGCGTCATCGACAATGAAACCATTCATCTGTCGTTGGAAAAATATTCTTCCTATTTCAAGCCCACCTTGATATCCTTATAGTGAGACATTCATACGACCGGAACTTGCTGAATGGTAACTTTCACCATAATTGATGAGCGTCTAATTCTGGTAAGAAAGCAATGTTGATTTGACCTCTATGACGAAACACTAGTAGTGATGTCATTCTTAACCAATCAGTAAAGCGGATACTTAAAGGTCAATGATGATTGCCAGGCGGTAAATAAAAGCACTGTGTGTCATTGTAGCAGAGTCGTTTGCCGCGACCCCATTTTTCTTGTCTCTTTATACTGATTAGACGTGAATTAAAAGTGCCAAGCTGACAGACAGCGAAATCCGTGGATTAAATGTGCAAATTGTGTGGGACATCGACGAAGGACGAAGCTGTAGGAATTTTATTCTATCGCAACAGTGACGCCGACTTGAACTTTGAGGGTTTTGACTTTTACAAAGATGGCAATGAACGTACAAATAGAGATCTGAGTTTTTTCTACAAACAACTATGAACTTTCGTAATTTTACTGCGTAAATTATTATTGATCTTGTATAGCTGTTGAACCGGTATTTGTCAAAACTGGAAATAAATTTTACGCAGTTTAACCCCTGACATTTTAATTCATTTTGAGTTCATGCGTGCTTGTCGACGAGGAAATCCTAATTCAAATGATTCCTCACTGTCGATTTTTATTATTTCTGGTTTATTTGTCACATTATAAGCAATAAATTATTTTTGTTATACTTCTAATGTTGCATATTGTTAATTTATTTCCATTGCATGTTTTTATTCGCCGTTCTATCCACCAATTTTCGTGAATTTTCAAGTTTTTTTGCAGGAGATGTCTGGGCGCTTACCCGGATAAATACCGGTAGTATTTATAACACACTCGCATGCCAAGTATCTCATTATTAAACAGAAAATTGTACTTGTTCAAATCATGTGCATGAATAAATTAATGTAACATTTGTGGCATTCAGAAGTATTCTTATCTGTCACTACCACCATGAATGATTAAACGATTCATTTGTTGAAATCATAACATGTCACATGCTTTTCATTTCTGATTTCAATGTTTAGCCAAGAATTTATTTTTCATCTCTAGTCTTGACCTAGGGACTGTGGCTGACCAAATTATTGTTGCCTACCACCCTTGGTTTGAGACCCAATAAGTCTTAATTTTAAGATATTTCAAACTTGTAGTGAATAAGGGAATGAACAACTATTGGAAATGAGTTCCTTAGGCACCACCCCCCCACCCTTACCCTCCTAATAATTAAAACAGGGGTATATACAATTGAAATGGAGGAGGGACACTGGAGGGGCAAGGTTAGGATTAGAGTTATGGGTAAGGGGGGCATATGGAATTCTTACCCAACTATTTTATTTCGTTTGAAACGACCACCACCCCATCGAAATCTCCGAAATAAATCATTGTACCTGAGGAGTTGGAGTCGATGGTCTTGGTGACCTCTGTGGACGAGGCGATGGCTGTTGTCCTTGGGCGGCTAACTGTGCGTAGTATTTGGGTCGTGGATCTTCCCATGTAGTGTTCCGTGTTTCATGGTGGATGAAGAAACTGAAAATAGAACGGATAATTACGAAACGATCAGATTAGCGATTGCAAATTAAAGTTCATGGTGACCTACATTAAAAGCCTGTCATTTGCTCGTGAACAACATACAAACATAAATAAGCGTACAAGAAAATATCTCGAACTAGAAAAACATCTTGAAATATTGACTAAAAAGTAAGGAAAACAAACGCAAAATATTTTTATTTCGCGTAAACCTACTATCGACGGGCATTGGCGTCGTATTTCGCCTCCCAGCCCGGTGGAAGTGGCCGTTGCCAATACGCATTCTGAGGTTGGGTGGCCATCTTGAAAATAGAAAGCTTAATTTATCAATTTATGGTAATTTATCGTATCAATGCCAAATTGCGCCCTCTATTGTGCACAAAGAGCTGCATTTATTTTGACAGTATGCATTTTGGAAAAAACGTAATGTTATAATTTAGGTCACGTTGATTAAGTTGTACAACCAAAGGATACAATAACAGTAATTCACTGAGCTAGACTTTTTCCGCAACCATCGTTTTAGCTGCTTTATAGCCGAAACACAGTGAGGTGGGCATAATAATATATCAAGGATTCATAAGAGATATTAAAGGTTATGTAACTTTGATATCCATGCACGGTGGTTGGCGATAAAGAGTACTCCCCTCCGAGTACCGAACTCTCGTGATTTGAAAGCGACTCATTCCGCGTGCGCCAATTCCAACTAGCAGCCCAGGGCAGCAGCCGAACTCCGTACACTTCGATACACGTCTCTTGGCCAGAGCATCACAGAACACAGGACGTGCTTGGAAATTCTATTGCGTAAACATAAATGGATACTCAGGACCACTCTATACCGAAACGATCTGAGCTGAGCACAAACCAGTTCTTTCACAGGCTCAGTAATTTGCATTAGAAATTATAGTAGGTTTCGCTTGCGATCAAACGGCAATATCATGATACCATCAGAGGTACATTACTTGGGATTTGCAACTACGGTGACATGATACCAAGATCCGTTTCAATCTCGCTCTCGCATAAGTATTCCAACTCAGAAAAATGCGAATGCGCATGCCCGAGGTAACTGGGATACTGGAATGTCCAGGTGGACCAAAATATCTGCTCACGATATGACGGATTACGATAACTTTATTTTCTGTATATTTTCGATGTATTAATTTGTTTCACTATGAATGTGGTAATACATGTTTTATTGATTATTACAAACTGCCTATGTCATGTCAGACAATATTTAAACAATAGAAAAAGTGGGCGATATTGTTTAGAATGACCACGTATTGGGGCGATATTTT